TCCGTTGCTGGTCGGGCACTTTGTACTGCGCCATGCACCCCCAGACTCGTGCCATGGACACACTAGGCACCTTCCTGGTCCACATGAAGTATGGGCTCTTGCCCCCTAGCCCCTTGCTGCCCATCCAGTTCTTAACCCAGTTGGCATATTGCACTGCTGCCCCCCACCAAGTATGGTCCAGCTGCGCATGAGCAAGCATGGCTCGGGCAAGGTCAATGAGGGTCCGGTTTAGCCGCTCTACTGCCCCATTTTGCTGCGGCGTGTAGGCAACTGAAAGCTGGTGGGTGATGCCCTTGTCTTCAAGGAAAGACTCCAGATCCTTCCCCATGTACTCCCCACCCCAATCAGACCTTAGTATCTTCACCTTCGCCCCGGCTTCCCTCTCCGCATAGCGTATCCAACGCTTGAACACCTTGGCCAATTCATCCTTGGTTTTCACCAAGGTGACCCAACTGAGGCGGCTGTAGTCATCCAAAAAGGTGATGAAGTACCTGCTGCCCTTCTCTTTGTCAGGAGTTTGCATGGGGCCACACACATCCGTGTGCACCAACTCAAGAGGTGCGGTGGCCCGAGAGGTGGAGGTTGGAAAGGAGGTCCTTGGCAGCTTCCCGGTAGTGCAATTAGGGCACTTGCTTGGCTGCCCACCACCCTCCTTAATCTCCACACCCTTCAGCTCCCCCTTCTTCACACACTCCACAAGTTGCTGCCTTCCTGCATGCCCCATGCGTAGGTGCAGCAAATCTGCCGTCACCTGCTCCACATCCCTCCAACGGGTGCTACAGGTGGCATCCTCGGCTTCAACACCATGTGCCCTCTCCACCTGAGGCACACAAACTGGAACAAGGTATAGACCCTTCTCTAATTTGGCCTCCATCACCACAGCTCCACCCTTGCGAACCGTGCCACCTTCCATGGTGAAGGTGCATATGTATTCTTGCCTCGCAAGCTAAGAGCATGAGAGAAGGTTGGCTGCCAATTCAGGAACATGAAGCACACCCTTCACATTCAGCACCTCCCCGTCCTTCCCCTTGACGGTGATGGTGGGAATGCCGATTGCTTGCAGCGTATCTCCGCTCCCCACAATCACATTTCTGGAGTTAGGTGGGAGGGAGTGATAGGTGGTGAAGAGGTCGCGCCGAGGTACCATTCCACAGGTTGCTCCAGAGTCTAGAATGAGCTGATTGGGGTCAGCCAACGTACGACCAGCAAGCGCCGTCTCTATCTCCAAGGATAAGAAGGAGAAACCATCATCCGATGAGTCCTCCTTTCCCTTCTTATTCTCGTTTGCCGCCATTGCTGCCGCTTTCTCTTTGCTGCCCTTCTTGTTCCATGCTCCATTCTTCATCCTCCTCTCCACCCACTCAGGCCTAGTGACAGGTGGAGCCTCTCCTGGGTACCCTTGAGGCTTCCACCCGTCAGGACGGCTCCAACACTCCTTCCAAGAGTGCTTCCGGTTGCATCCAGGGACAAGGCACTTGTCGAGCTCCTTCTTCTTCCCCCCACCCCCGTGCCGCTGCTGGTATTTCTTGGAGGCAGCCCTATCACTTGCCCCCATTCCCCCTTCAACTACTCTACCAGCATCCCGTTTACGAGCCTCATCAGAGACCAACACCTCCCATATCCAGGCCTTGGTCCATTTCTGTTGCTCAAGGTGAAGGTACTGCAGTAGGGCCTCGTTCGCCTCTTGGTCCAGCCCCTGGAGTGCGGTGTAGATGATCTCCTTCTCATCTACAGTGTAGTCAACTCCTCTAAGGCTCTCACATACTCATCCACCCTCTGGAGATACTGCACCATGGTCTCTCCATCACCATAGTTGCGTTCCATGGTGTAGAACCGCTTCCTCTAGGTGAGTATGCTTAGGAGCCCTTTTTGCAAATGACGATCTTGAACTCTCTTCCATGCTTGGGCAGCTGCTCCTTGCTTCCCCTTCAGGTCAATCAGCATCTTTAGGAGCTCTAGTTGGCCTTCCAAGGCCCAACACAGGTACTGGAACGCTTGTTTGTCCTTGCGGTCCCATGCTTCCTGTGCCTTAAGAAGCTCCTCCGCACTAAGCCGTTGCCTTCCGGTTCGCGGTGCTGCTGTTCCACCTGCACTTCCCTCAGTTATGGATGAGCTAGAGGCTCCCCCACCCCCTTCTCCTACTTGGCTAGTGACTCCAGTAGATGCCTTTCCTTCATCAGCTTCAGGTCTTCGCTCCGATCCCTCCAAAACGCCTTCTAGGTCTTTGATACCTAGCCAAAGCGTAAACTGGAACCGCCATAGCGAAAAATCCGAGCCGGTGAACCTAGGAGGGCCATCTAATTTCTGGGCCATGACCAACCCTATATCTGGAGGTTCTTAAGCCAATTCGAAATATGATAATAGGAGGGAATGTCGCAGGCCTAACCAGCTCTGATACCACTGATGGAAAGCGAGCGAATCTGGAGAGCGTAACAAGAGATTAAGTCCGCCGACTTTGACGGAACATTGCGTGCAGCTCACGTAACCTTAAACTATGATCAGGTACGCGTTGGAACGGTCTTAATCTCTACTTTCCATAATGGTAACGCACGTCTTCAACCAAGATCTAGGCCGATCGCTATCGCGATTTAAGTGCGACGGGGTATTCTGGCGGAATTAATAGGCAGCCATGGATTAAATCAAGAAGGTAGCTTTCGGAAGAGTTCAGATCTGAAAAGTGACGAGTTGTTCAAACCCTACCAACCCAACCCTCGCCCTACAACAATCCCCAACAACCCAAAGTGCTAAACTAGCAACACCAAAGGTGTTGTAGTGAATAGCAAAGGTTTGTTGGTGCTTGTTGGGTGCGAGATCAATTCCAGCCCGCAACAAGTCCAACCACCACATTTTGCCCAAACCCTTAGCCCACAACCAGCTAGAGCAAAATACCACAACCACCTACAAAATCAACACTCCCCCTTGCTCGTGCTGGAGGTGGCTGAACACCACTGGGCAAAATCCTTCACTTCACGAGGGGGGTGGCGTGTGAGCGGTGCTAGTAGTTTAGCAGGGGGTGTGTGAAAGGGGTGTGGGACACTTGGGGAAAGTTGAGTGGAGGCAGTCGTCTTGTCGTCCGGAGCGCTTGAAGTCCAGAGAGCCACGACCTCTGCGGCCGTGTAGTCCGGGCCTCTGCACCTAGTAGCCACAGTGTGAGCACTCCTGGTAGTCCAAAGAGCCAGCTGCGCCTGTCGCCGTGTAGTCCGGGTTTAGCCTGGTAGCGACAGTGCTGCGCACTCCTGGGAGCACAGCGAGCCAACTGCGCCTGTCGCCGTGTAGTCTGGGTTTAGCCTGGTAGCGACAGTGCTGCGCACTTCTGTTGCCCGTGCGTCTGCAGCTTCAGCCGTCGTCTCGCATCTTCTCGCCCCCACAGTTTCTCCTCCTCCTCACTTGCTCTTTGTGATAGCCTCTAGTTTTGCTTATAATTGTGAACTACTGCTCTGCCTGCGTGTTGTGCTGATTATACCCCACTTTGACTATGGGGGTGTGTCAGAATGTGATGTTTGTCTAGCCTGCAGTGGGGTACTCTATAGCGAGTACAACCCGAATTAGGGTTTGCTATATGTACTCCTCTTCCTGCTAGTGAAAACCCCTCTTTCCTGTTTCTGATTCTTGCTTAGTATTCCGACACGTCGCCCTGATTCAGCAAATCGTCGCGCGAATCAGGGCGAGTCGCAGGATACGCGCAATCAGCAAGGGGTCGTGGAAATCGCCGACATCATTGCTCGCCTTGACCCTGCCAGTCAGCAGAATCTGAGGCGCACAATTCCGCACATTATACTCAAGATAATGTTGGAGCTGGAGCGAATAATATCGAGGCGATTCGATATGCTATTGGTCTTCTGGCGGCGCTTCAACGCAACAACACCAGCGACCCGGCACCAGCATCCGAAAATGCCTGCCCGGCGGCTGCAGCAGCACCCCGTCCTCGTGCTCCTCCTCTCAATCACAAGCGCGGTGACGACGACGACCGCGCAAATGCCGAGAACCTCGATGAGGGTAATACAATTCGACTCAAATCCAGCTCCGCGCCTATAAACCTTGCCCCCATTCCTCCTGCACACCCTGAGCTGCGCTCCTCCCTTGTTAAAAGTGACGGCATTCGCACTCAAATCTCAAGTTTCGAAGGCATTCAAGCGATTGCACTGCATGCTATTTCCATCTTACCCTCTCATGGCGGCGAGCAACTTGGTGATTACGTGCGGCAGATTGTTGATGAAACCGAGGAAAAGATTCAGTTTTTATTTTCCGCGGATCAACGCGGGTTTGAGGTGGCCAATATGGCCTTAAAGATTAAGTATGGCGAGGTGGTGGAAGATAAGAATGTCAAGGCTGCCACAAAGATAGCCGCAACCAACAAAAAGAGGCCTCACCATCCCACCACCTCCTCTCGCCCCAACCCCGCTCCTCACAACCGAGGCCAAGGGGAACGCTATTGGACTTGGTGTAGGGACGGCGATGGGCGTTGCTTTAATTATCGCGAGCTCGGCCATGGAATAGCCGTTTGCCTATAGCGTATCAAGGGGCTAATCAACCCTCTAAGATTGTCTAGTATTGATGCTTGTCAAGATATCCTTGTTATGTTTAACAATATAATGAAAGACTTCAAAAGAGAAAAAAACTATCGCTTCGTAAGACATACATTTCATTCTATCCTCAATAGCATGGGAATGACATACCCCACCTCCAAAAAAAAAAAAATCCATACCCAACAAAAGGGGGAGGAGAGGATAGAGAGAGAGGAACAAAGAGAGAGGAGTAGAGAGACTCAAACTCCTAAAAATAAATTGTCTCCACTTGAGTTGAAGCGACACAGTGCGACCCATTAAATATTTTGTGCCTCGTTGAGCACGACCCAAAAAGAGAGAGAGAGAGAGAGAGAGAGAGAGAGAGAGAGAGAGAGAGAGAGAGAGAGAGAGACCCTAGGCCCAGTCCTTAGTCTCCCCAAGCTCTATAGCTTAGTCTAGCCTTAGCATAGCATAGATCTAAGGCTTCCTTAGCCTCTAGTCTCTAGTGAGCCCCCTGCAGTAAGCCTATAAGGAGTACATGATCCCTTATAGCCTCCCTTATTGCCTCATTCCTGTGATTATTCTCTGGTGAGTGTGGTTCCTCCAAACCCAGCGGCTCGCGCCGGCCGCCGAAGGCGGCCGACGCTCGACAGCGCGGCCTTCGGCCGCGCGTTTGGGAGGCAAGGACACGCGAACAGGAAGAAGTTACAAGGGGAGCAATACAGGCATGCAAGCATAACACTGAAAGGGCAACGCTAAGGTAAGTCCCCGGCCATGGGGAGGAAGAAGCCGACACCAAAAGCGCCACCGAAGGAAGCGCCTACATCCGCTCAACCCGCCGCCCAATCCATCGGAGCACACACGCGAGCGCAGGGACGATCCCAAGTGGGGACTCTTCAACAGCCGTGGCTACCATGCGGAAAGCTGCAGCGCCAGGTCCGTCGTCCAGCGAAGGATCCTCGGGTTCCAGCGGCAGGTGAAGCAGGTCATACAGCGCGCTCGACACAGCCCGGCGCGCCTGCCCCTCCTGTTCCTCACTCAACTGAGGATCCCGAGCCACAACCTCCCGCGACTGGAGGGCAGCATGCAGAATGTCGAGCACGAACGACAGCTCCGTCACGCAGCGGCCAACGTCAGACAAGAACATCCCACGCGACTGGTATGCCCCATCCCCAGGCTGAGGATCCCCCCAAGGAGGGCTTGGGGGAGGGGTGCCCCAGTGCCAGTTCCCCTCCCGCGGCACATGGGGCCAAGACACGGCCAACCAATCCACGTCAGGGTCACGAGGCGTACTCGGCACCTCGTAATCGTTCCAGCAGCCACCAGGGAGGCCAGGTATCGGCTGATGCTGCGGGTCCAGAGAAAGCGCAGGGTGACGAAGGGCAAGGCAACGCCGAAACGCGGCATGTGGTCAGCAAGGATGGAACGACGACGCAAAGCAAACGGGGAGGAGACGACAGAGGTGACAACTCACAAATCCAAACCGGGCGGCAGGGAGGCGAGACCCCGGCACAAGTGGGTGCTGGCGACGAGGCATGCACGACGGCCGAATGGGAGGAGGAAGCCCCCGAGGGGCGGGCGGAGCCGGCGCGGTTGCATCCAGCCGAGGCGGGTACGAATACGCGAACGGGACGACTGGGGGCGGCACCGTCGAGGGTGCTGAGGCGGGCACCGCGGGAGGAGGAGGAGATTGATGGGGAAGGGGGTGAGGCGGGTGCGACGGCGTCTCCGACACCGGGGCTGACGGCGGCGCGAGGGCAGGTGGAGCACCGGGTGGCGCAGGGGGAGGCGCGGAGACATTGTGCATCGCCGGAGGAGACGGCGCCATCCCCTGGGATGGCGGTGGGGGTGGGGGGGATGCACCTGAAGGCGTAGACTGCACCGGCACAGCCGGCGGAGGCCGCTGGGATGACGCCGACTGAGACTGAGGTGGAGGAAGCTGCAGCGGCTGGGACTGAGCAGCAGGAGCTGGAAACAGCGACTGCGGACGAGCCCGAACACGGGGAGGCGGACGGGGGGGCCGGCGGCGGCGGAAGGACTGACCGCGCGCACGAAGGAAGGGATGGGTGCGCCCACGGGGAGAACGATAGATCGGCTCCCTCGCCCGGACCGGCGAGATCGGCGACGCAGAAGGGGCGGCGCCAGCCTCAGACGACAGGTAGTCCGCGACGGCTCGGAACAGGGCTGGCACCTGCCTGCCCGGGGCCACTAGTGGGGTGGGCACAGCAGGAGAAGCAGCTGCCACAATCACATCACGCCGAGGCGGCCGGCGGCGGCCCGTCATCGGGAGCGCGGAGATCAGTGGCGAATGGGCCAGACGATGCAGACGTGCGAGCGGAAACCACCGCAGTCGAGGCAGCGGCAGCCGAGGAGGAAGTCCAAGTGACGGCGCTCGATCGCTGCCGAGAAGGGACGGCGCGGCAGAGGCTGCTACGCGAACGCGCGGCGGAGGCAGCGGCGGGAAACCCGCCGCCAAGAACACGGGGAGGAGAAACGGCCGCGCAACGGGGACGGGGCGGACGCGGGGCACGCGGACGAGGGGGCCTGGCGGCGGCTGTGGCTAGGGAGAAAGCCAGATCTGGGAACTGGCGGGAAAGGCACGGGAGGCCTGAGAGACAACGGGGAGGAGAGCCAATAGACGAAGAGCAGGAAGATGAAGGCGAGGAATATATGGAGGAGGAGGAGCAGGGTGACTCGGAGGATGTATCACTTGAGGATGAGGGCGGTATCCCGGGTAATAGGGCAAATCAGAGGGCGAGGAGGGCGGGAAACGAGGCCAACACCAACGAGGCCGAGTCACAAGGCGGTCCTCCCAACGAGGCAGAAAGCAAGGCAAGGTCGCCAGCAGACATCGCAGCTGACTCGGATGCCTGGCGCCAGGTGGAAAAATGGGATTTGGGCCCGTTGAGCTGCAGAGCACAACCATTCCTCTACCGGAAGCTTCCCCCCAAGATCCTGGGAGTATACGCGTACTGCATGACAATCCCCCTCCTCCGACTTGCAAAAGTTCCGAACTGCGCAGGGGCGTGGCGAATCCTCCACTTCCTGCCGAGGCTGACCCTCCGAGCCGAACTTGAGAAACCCCGCGGAAACATCTGGGGGAGTGTCAAGAAGCGACTCCAGCAATTTCAGGAGGAGGAGTGGGAGCTGCTCTTCTTGGAAGCCTGCATCATCCCCCCGAACCCTCAACCAAGCAGACACCAACAGGACCCCGAGGGGATGTGTGCCAGAGCGGAGGGTTTGGTACGGAAAGCGAACTTGGCAAAAGCGCTGGCAGCGTTACAATCAACCCCCCTCGACGAACAAACACCCGCGACGCTCGCGGCACTTCGCGCCAAACATCCGTTGGCGGGTCAACCCACACCAGGCTGGGTTACCGGATACGAATCATCTGGCCTGACAATTGCCGATGACGAGTTCCGCGAGGTTTTAGCTAAGTGCCCTAATGGGATCGGGGCTGGGCCATCTGGAACATGCTTTGAGCACTTGCGGGACCCGGCGCTGCTGAACGAGGAAGTCTTCGGCCTCCAGCACCAGCTTGTCAACACGCTACTCAGCACAAACCTAACTGAGCCTCTGAGAGACCTACTGCTACCATCGCGATTAATAGCCCTGGAGAAGCCGGGAGGGGGAGTCCGGCCGATCGCAATAGGCGAAGCGATCATTAGGATAGCAGAGAAAGCAGCGTTGCGTACGCTCTCACCGGAGATCCGCCGCTTCTTCCTCCCAGTCCAGTTCGGCGTGCCGTGGCCGGAGGAGCAGAGACCGTAATACATACGACACGAGCCCCGCTGGCAGAGGACCCAACGCGAGTCGCGATCCAGCTAGACATCGAGAACGCATTCAACTCGGTGGAACGGGAGAGCTTCTTCGCCGCCCTCAAATGGTCGGCGCTCGAGCAACTACTCCCGCTGGTCCGCACGCTGTACAGCGCGCCGGCACGCCTTCTCCTAGATCCAGGTTTTGACGAGCGCCACATCGAGAGTGCCCGGGGGGTGCGGCAGGGAGACCCACTCGGGCCCATGCTCTTTGCAGCGGCCATTTAGCCAACTCTACTGAAAGCAGCAGCTCTATGCCCCGCGACTGTGGTCATGGCGTTCGCCGATGACATCACGATCATCGGCGCCCCGGATCAGGCGATCAAGGGAGTCAACATCATTGCGGATGAGCTTCGGAAGTGTGGCCTGCGGTGCAACCTGGAGAAATCATCTGCGTGGAGCCCGGCAAGCTGCCCTGACGGGCTCCCAAAAGGCCTGGTGGCGGCGATCGATGGCATTCGGGTGCTTGGGAGCCCGGTAGGGACAAGGGAGCATGGGCGGCGGTTCATATGTTCGGCTCTCCTAGAAGTGGCGGAACCGCTCCCCCTCATCAGCAAACTGCACCCACAACATGCGCTCCTGCTGCTCTCAAGATGCGTGTCACGACGTATCTCGTATATGCTGCGCACGACCCCGGCCGACACATTGCCGCTAGTGGAATGGAGAGACTGGAGCGAGGACCTGCTATGGACGGCACTGAAGGCGGCGAAGATGTACGCACCAGCCAGTGAAATGGAGCAGAGCCTCGTGTGGCGACAGGCGACGCTACCAGTTTGCCTGGGAGGGCTGGGATTGATAGACCCACTCTCCGAGGCGCCGGCGGCATACCTAGCTTCACTGCACGCGGCAAACGCACTGCTCCGCCAAACAGTGATGGAACACGACAACCCTCTGCAGCACGTGGCAGGCCTGCTCTCTCCCATGAAGGAGGAAGGCGGGGCGGAGGGGGAAGGGGTGACGCTCCGAGACCTCAGGAACAGGCTCCCAGAACAGGCCCGGGAGGTCCTGAAGGCACACCACCAGAAGGGGGACGGGAAGGGACACCTGCAGCTACTCCTATCGAGACACATCAACCAGGACAGGGCTGCGGAACTGGTGGGCGACACGAGGACGGACAAGCCCAGGAGAGACAACGGACACGTGATCCGCCTCATTAGTCTGCAAGGAGTGGGGGCGGGGGACTGGCTGCACGCCATCCCCACGAGAGGAGACCTCACTTTTTCACCGGGCCAGTTTGCTGTCGCGCTTGGTTTCCGGTTGGGATTGCCTGTGGCAGTGACGGAGAAGTGCCCCTGCAAGGGCAAGCGGTCGGACATCACAGACAGGAGCCTGCCGAACCACCTGCTGCGGTGTGCCGACGGAGGGGACAGGACAAACACCCACAACGCCCTGGTGTTTGCGGCGCTGCGTATGGCCCAGGAAGCGGACTACACTACCCTGCACGAGTCACCGGCCTTCTCGCCTATCACTAACCAAAAGCGAGCGGACCTGGTGATCCGTGACAAGGAGTCCAACGAGACCTACGTCACTGACGTGACGGTCACGGATCCTATTCTGCAGCGACGCGACAAGAGGGCAGTTAAGGCGCCAGGGTGGGCGGCAGAGGACGCGGCCAGGGTGAAGCGGGGCCTGTACGAGGGGCGCCCTGGCTTTGTAGGGGTGTTCGGTCTGGCGGTAGAGACCTACGGGGCCCTGGCTAAGGATACCCAACGGTTCCTGCGCCTCCTGGGAACGCAGGCAGCTAAGAAGAAGCACAGGCAGGGGAGACTTACTGCCGTAGCCTCCTGGATCACGGCGCATTACCGACAGAGGTGGTCGGTCATGCTCCAGCGCTGCCAAGCGAATGCCCTGATGGCCAAGTCCAACAGGGCACTCGAGGCAGCGCACCTCCAGGCAGCGGCGGACCCGTGGGAACCAAGCCTTGGGGATCTCTGGCAGGTCCTCGAGGACGACATGGCCCAACTACTCGACCTGAGGGGGTAGAGGGCCGGGCCGGCTGCAAGAGGGCTGGCCCAACCGCCAGGCGCCACCCGCGGCTGGACTGAGCAGGAGGGGATGTAGGCTATGGTGAAGGCTTGAGCAGGCTAGTTGCCGCCTAGCCCCAAGGCCAGATGTGGTCGCTCTGCTGTTCACGGCGAGTCGGCCGCCCATTGCCCTATCGAGGAACAAACCGCCGACTTTACCATGACGGATAGAAGCAGTGGGGCGGTTTATGTCTGTGATGTCACCATCACGGACCCCATCAGCACGAGGGACCCAGAGGCGCAGAAAGGCAGGGGATGGGCGGCACGGGAACAAGCGGATAAGAAAATCCAGCATTACGCCAACCGGCCGGAGACGGTTGGCTTCTTCCCATTGGCAGTCGACACCTATGGCTGCCCATGCGCGGAAGTACCAACCTTCCTGAACCTACTTGCAGACACGGCGGCTCGGCGCCACTTTAACGCCGACTCTAAATCCTTTTATGCCGCCAAGTTCCTGCACCAGTTTTGGCAGCGATGGTCAGTGGCCCTTCAAAGGGCCCAATCAGTGGGTCTTCTACTCAAGTTGGGCGAGGCGACAGCAGCAGAGAACCCGCCTGTAGGGGGTATTGGTCAAGAGTTACACCTAGGAAACTGTTTTGCGGTGGTAGAGCCCATCTTGGAGCTCTAGGGGAATAGTGAGTAGGAATTGGTGCTTTGTTTGTTTGTTTATTACATCCATACACTGCATGCTTGTACCTTGCTGCTATATCAATACAAGGACCATTAGAGAGAGAGAGAGAGAGAGAGAGAGAGAGAGAGAGAGAGAGAGAGAGAGATAGAGAAAAGAGAAAAGAAAGAGAGAAAAAGAGAGTGCGCGCGTAATGGGTGCATGGGCGTGTCAGAATGCTATAATTGACTAGTCTGCAGTGGGGTAATCTATAGTGAGTACAACCCAAATTAGGGTTTGCTATATGTATCCTATCTGCTGCTAGTGAAACCTCTCTTTCTGTTTCTAACTTTCTGCCTACTATTCTGACATGCTATCAGAGCAGGTCAACCCTCCCTGGTCGATCCTGTGGATGGGCCCACCGTTAGCTTCTGCTGCTGTTCTCTCAGTCGCGCACCCCGGGCGCGTGACCATTTCCTGCCTGTCGCGCACCCTGGGCGCGCGACGTTTTCTGCCCGCCGCGAGCCCCGGACGTGCGGCGGTTTTCTGCTCGGCCCGCTGCCCCCGTCGACCCGCGCGTCGCCCCAGAGGACCTGAGCGCGCTGCCCCGTCGACCCGCGCGCTGCTCCCGTCGACCCGCGAGTCGCCCCAGGGGACCCGCGCGCCGCCTTGTGGGACCCGCGCGCGCTGTCCCGTCGACCCGCGTGAAGCCCCCGTCGACCCGCGCGTCGCCCCAGGGGACCCGCGCGCGCTGCCCCGTGGACCCGTGCGCGCTGCCCTGTGGACCCGCGCGCCATCCCTTGCCCTCGTGCGCCGCGGGGCAGCTTCTTTCTCGCCCCCTTCCCCCCCCCCCCCCGCCCCCCCTTCTCCTTCCACTCCCTGCTGCACGTGCAGCCGTGGGGTGGAGGGTATGGGGGTGGCGGGTGTGTGAGCCGTCCCCTGCTCCTCCTCCTCCTCCGTCTCCCATTGCTGCAGCTGCCGCTGAGGGGGGTGGGTGTGTGGGAGCCGAGGGAGTGGCGCTAGGGGGGTGTCGTGGGTGTGGAGCTAGGGGTGCAGCAGGGGGTTTGTGAAAGGGGTGTGAGACAGTTTGGGGAGGTTGAGCGGAGGTAGCCGTCGTGACTCGTGACGTAGTCAGGATCCCTTGCTCCGGTAGCCCAGCGAGCCTGCTGCGCCAGTCGCCCGTGGGTCCGTTGCTCCTGCCGCTCGTCTTAGCCGCGGAGCCAGTTACTCCTGTAGTCCGGGGCCCTTGCTCCAGTAGGCACCGTGAGTGCCGCTCCTGTTGCCCGTGTGTCTGTGGCTTCACCTGTCGCCTCCTATCTCCACTCCTCTCACAGTCCCTCCTCCTCCTCACTTGCCCTCTGTGACTGCCTCTAGCTTTGCTTGTGCTTGTGAACTTCTTATGCGACTGCTTGCTGTGCTGATCATACCCCACTTTGCCTATGGGGGTGTGTCAGAATGCTATGATTGTCTAGTCTGCAGTGGGGTAATCTATAGTGAGTACTGTCAAACTTATACTCTACAGTTTGTTTAGGCTATAGTGGGGAAGTTACTATGGGGTACAGTAAGTTTAGGGTTTCCCACTTGTACCCACCACTTTTCTAGGGCACACACACACTTGTTCATTCTGACATGGTATTACGAGCCTAGGTTAGGAACCTAGGACCGCTTAGTCCTAAGGGCCCACCGTTCCGCTAGAAGCGCCCTCGTGCGCCCCACCTTCTTCGCGCCCTCGTGCGCCTCTCTGCTAGTGCGCCCTCGGGCGCCCTCCCTCTCACGCTGCCCGTGCGCAGCCCACTAGCCGCCCGCGCGCGGCCCGTTTTTTAGCGCGCGCAGCCCGCTAGCCGCCCGTGTGCAACCCGTTTTCTCGCGCGCGCCCGTAGGCCGACGCCCGCCCGTAGGCCGCCGCCTCGCACAGCTACAGCCCGCACGCAGGTCGCAGCCCGCGAGCCGCGGCTGTCGCACGCCGGCTGCTGCAGCCCGCGCTTAGCCGCCGCCTACACGCAGCCGCGGCCCGTGCGCAGCCGCAGCCTAGACGCAGCCGTGCACCGCGCACAGGCCGGCCGTCGAGCCGCCCAATCCGCGCCGCACCGTCCTGCCCGAGTCGCGCCGCCCTTACCGAGCCGCGCTGCCCCACCTGCAGCAACTGCTGCTCCTGTTCCTGCTGCTATTGCTGTTCTTACTGCTACTGCTGCTACTGCTACTGCTGTTACTGCTACTGCTGCTACTGCTACTGCTGCTACTGCTACTGCTGCCACCATGGCTAGTCCCACCATTCTCTCTTTCGATGCTGAGGGCCGCCCGGTTCACTCGACGACCTGCACCTGTTCCTACAGATCACTGCTAAGGACGATATCTCGCTGTGATCACGCGTCAGGAACCGCTCCCGCACCTGCT